CTTTCTTGGGAGGGTTAAGAATTTTTACCCCTCCTTTTGTACCTTTTCTATTATTATCTTTTAATAAAAGTCTCTGTTATTTATCAAAAAAAAATTGTACATTGTGGATTGAATCACTCCATTATAGTCTTAGGGCTACTTTAGGAATGCTTTAGGTCTTTATGTTCCAATGTTTTAAAAGCTAGTTAGGAAAACTGAACCCGATAAACTCATTAAAAAAAAAAAAACTGAACCAGATAGAAAGATGGTTGGATTCTGGTTCAACTGTTAGCCCAATAGTTGAATGAACCTATCATGTGATCTTCTAAATTGTAGGATGAATGATTGTTGAACAAGCAGGATTTGTTTCTCCCTTTTCTAACTAAACCATTTGATCCATGGAACTCAGTTTGATACAACCAAACTTGGAATCATCCATTCATGGTTTGGAATTTTGGATTGTTTTACTGTGCTAGGTTAGGATCTTTATATAAGTGTCCTATTTCACTTGTTCCAGATATACTCATTAGAGGTCAGAACAATGTCTATGGTGGCAAAGCTTTATTTCTCATAGTAGGAAACTCATGTATTAGAAACATCAAGTGGTTAGTGATCTCTGTGGGGTTGGTCTCATGAATTTCCTTGTTGTGGGAAGAAAACTGTCTAATACTTTGCCTATAGCTAGGATGTGTAGTTTCAACCATTCATTTGGGTGCTTTCAGGGTTATTCCATGTATATCTTCCCTGAATCTTGTCCCTCATATCAGCCTCCTTTAAGCAGCTAATATGAAGGTTGACATGTTATCATTGTTCACTATTGACCTTGTTCACCATAAATCTTAGAGGAGGTAAATGAACAGAGATCCAGCATTGCACCATTTTTTTGATGACTGAACTACTCCCAAATGATTATGAAGGGTACAGGCTGGCCAATGATCTATATCAGTTACTTGTAAAAAAAAGTCTATATTAGTTAAAGAGCCTGTCAAGTGATTCTCGTGTTTGGGTGCATTGTAGAATCTAATTGTTATTCCCTGGCCTGGCCATCAAATATCTATGTTGTAACCTATAGAAAAGAGTCACTTCTGATAACATCTTTACTTTTGCTTACCTTACAATGAAGAGTTTAACATTTTAGTTGATCATTGTTTAATTGATATCTTCTCGGAGTTGCAGGTTGCTATATTTGTAGTTTTAGCAATGGTACTGCGACGAAAACCTGATGTTTTAATCAGCATCTTGCCAGTACTAAGGGACAACACTAAGTATCAGGGACAAGACAAACTTCCGGTTATTGTGTGGATGATTTCTCAGGTAAGGATGACTTGGCACATGGTTATTTAAATAATGCAAATCAATTTCATATATATGCCTTTTATAGCAGATATTGAAATCAATTTGTATAGGCATGTCAAGGAGACTTGGTTGTAGGAATGTTTGCATGGGCACATAACCTCCTGCCTATAGTCAGTGGGAAAAACAGTAATCCACAGTCCAGGGACTTGATCTTGCAGTTGGTTGAAAGGTCTGGGTGTGTTGAATATTTGACTAAGATTTCTTCCATCTACAGCATATTGTGTTGCAAATTATAAGTTTCCTGTGTTTTTTTGTTGTAGAATTTTGTCTGCCCCAAAAGCTCGGTCTATTTTGTTGAATGGTGCTGTCAGAAAGGGGGAGCGTTTGGTGCCACCTTCAGCTTTTGAGATGTTGATGCGAACTACTTTCCCTCCACCTGCAGCTCGTATCAAGGTCAGTATTGTTGGGACTTGAAAATGCAGTCATGTTGTTATAAAACTTGGGGTTCTCAGTGATCCTGATTTAGCTCCGTTGCAGGCTACTGAAAGGTTTGAGGCAATATATCCCCCCTTGAAAGAGTTGGCACTTTCTGGTTCCCCTGGAAGTAAGGCAATGAAACAAGTTTCACAGCAAATACTCAATTTTGTTGTCCAAGCAGCAGGAGAAGGTCTGTGCAAACGTTCATGACTGCCCTTTATTTCTTCATCTCTATATGAAATCTAGTGAGATCAGGTCATATTTCAGAGCTTGAGATGCAACATTCCTTTTGCAGCCATTCCAGAGTTATCCAAAGAAGCAGTTGGTGTTTTCATCTGGTGTTTGACTCAAAACCCTGACTGTTACAAAATCTGGGTGAGCAACTTGAGTCGTTTTTGCACATAGAGTGTAGGAGATGACTTTTGTTGTTCTTTGCGATTGCATCATTACATGCTGGTCATTTTCTTGGTTACATGGTGGAAACAGGACAAGATTTACCTGGATAATATAAAAGCCAGTGCTGCTGTCTTGCGAAAACTATCTGATGAATGGAAGGAACACTCTGTTAAACATTCCTCACTTGACCCACTAAAGGTGACTCTCAAAAGTTTCAGACAAAAGGTAAACACGGATTTAGATGTTTCATATTATCTTGTTTGCTGTTTCCAACATTGAGTACTTGAGCTGTAGTTTCACAATTCATGTTAAGAGATGTTTGGAAGTAACAAAATTCATTTTGTACGTGTATAGTTCATTAGAAATAAATTTGTCATTGCAGCTAATTTGTTAATCTTGGTTTTTAGAATGAGACAGCATTGGCTAGTGGAGGGGATGCTAGTGACGAAGCATTAATCAAGGATGCTGACAAGTACTGTAAGGTGATCCTGGGAAGAATATCACGTGGGCATGGCTGCATGAAGAGTGTGTTTGTTGCGTGCATTGCTGTTGCTGTGGGTGCTTTGATCATGTCCCCAAACATGGAGCCTTGGGACTGGAAGAAACTATCTGTAATATTCAACTCCCCAGGATCCATCTGAATAAAGTGTCAAGGAGAGAAAATGGTTGGTGGCCAATGGAGAAAGACATCAATGTGAATTTTACAACGTTCGGCATAAGAAATGTAAGAAAATTGGCCCATAAAGTAGGGGCAGAGGATGTGGTATTTATTGTAAACCATACAAAGGCCCATTGGCTTAATTATATACTAGAGTTGGGGGAAGTGAAAAACTTCATGAAAGTGCAACTTAGCTGACAAGAGTAAGGAGTGTTGATGGTCTGTTTAGTCATTTAGGATTCAGCTGGCTTTCCTGTTTTGGTTAATGCATTAGATATAGCATTTTTTTATTTCTTTTTTAAGTTATTTGTTCTAATGTCTTTTATACATGCAAAGTGATCTTACAGTGATGGCTTTCAACACTTAATGGAACCCATGTTCAACCCTGAAGGAATTTTGATGTTAAATTGTTTTATTATTTTACTTTTGTTTTTTTTTTTTACTGCATTTCATGTGATAGTATGCAGTTTCTTGCTTTCTGCTTTAGCTGAATGAATTCCACCAAGAACAGATATTGCTGGACTACTTGAACACTGTCTGTGACAGTGGAAAACTGGAAATGGTTGATGGTGTGATATGTGCTGTATCTGTTGTTTTAACCTTTCTGTATTAACTATAGGAGTCCAGCATATACAAGTTTTGAGTTGTGGCTGCAAGATGGTGATTGATCAATAGGAGCACAAGACTAACATGTATCGCTTTCCTTGCGACTAAACTGGGCAAATGACAAAGGTTATTTGTAAAATAGCATTTTCTGGAAACCAAACTATGCTCATTTTCCTTCATTTAACGTGCAGCTAAATGGAGCCTAAGTAATGATGCGAGCCACTAAAACATCAAAAACAGCCCTTTTATTGGTACTTGATTTGGATCGTTTTGCTCTCATTTGCTTCTTCATTCACCCGGCCCGAGTCTCACTCAATTATTGATCTTTTCATCATTCATCTAGCCATAATGTAAATGTTTGACTTTTTACCTTTTTGAGTCACTGGATAGCTTTTGGTCATTCTCCACTTATCTTTTTGAAATTTGATATGGGAAGTTTATGTTTAATTCGTTTTTCAAGAATAAAAAATCCAGTCTACTCAATAGGTAAAAAAATGGTAAACTTAAAGGAAAAATTGGCCTTTTATAGTTGGGACCCATGTGATTTACGGGTTTAATCGAGTATATGTAAGGTTTAATCGAGTCTTATGGCATTTCTAATTGGGTCAAGATAAATCAAATCCACCCCCAAATTGTTTTTTTTTTTTTTTTTTCTGAGACAGGAGGGAAGAGGCTCTAACATAAGCAAGGGGTAAAGCAAACCTAGTGATTAAGGGTAGAGCCAAGGCGACCCAGGAGAACCCTAATCCCCACTCTCCCCCCACCCCACCCCATGATTAGCCCCCCAAAGCCCCATCCATGTTTATTCTCCCGTCTCCATCCCATTTAATTAGGTTTTTGTTCTCGTAGCAAAAATTCTAGCTCCTCCCCTACCAACAACCATTGAGTGTAGTTCTTTCAATGAAAAATTGGTCACATTTTTTTTTGTTTAATTATCACTTAGCTCATTATTTTGTAAAATATTTGGTCAATGGACTTTTGATCTAGATTTTATAATCATTGAACTATTTGAAGTGGAAAATCGTTCATAGATTGATAACTATTTTTTATAATTTAAATATTTCGTTATATTTATGATGAATATGATGGTTTTTGAAATATTGTTTACCCAAAAAATCGGATTTTTGGCTCGAAAACTGTCGAGGCAGCCGGTTCCTTTTCACCCTTGACTCATATCTTGGCCAAAAATCGTTGACTTGGTTAGCGACCTGCTGATCCAGACAATTGAATTGTCGATCGGTTCTACCCGAACAACACTTTTTGTCCATTTTTTAATTTTATTTTTTTTAATTTATATATATATATATATATATATATATATTTAAATTAGAACGTGTTGTCCATTTGAATTGGATGGTCGAACTACTAACCCAGAAATCAATGGCCAAAATGATTCTAGTTCTGGGTAAGTTTCTAAAACATTAATGAATATCAAAAGCGGATCCATTTCAAATATGGTTCCATTTTCAGTTTGACTTTTAAAACATTGGATTAAGGTTAACTTCATTATGGGTTAATTAATTACGTTACTTAATTTAAGTTCATTGAACTTAATTAAATGAACTAATTAGGATAGTTATTTTACTCAATTTAATTAGGTAATGCTTTAATTAGCTAATCAAATAAATTATTTATTAATTAGCTACTTTAGTAAAATTCCTAATTAAAATAAATTAGTGCATTAATTTAATTAAGTAACTTTACAAGTAGCACATAGTATCAAGAAAAGATTAAACTTGAATTAAGTTATTAGGTTAATGAAACTTAATTGAGATAATTAAGTTTACTTATGCTAATTAAATTAGCTCTATTTAGGGAAGTTTAAGTTCATTTAATTTAATCTAAGTTAAATTGACTTAAGTTCATCTTAATTTAGGTTAGTTCAGGTTAATTATGGAATTTTACATGTAGCATATGTAACTGTACATGATTAAAGGCAATAATTATGTTTAATGGGTCATGTTTATGTAACATTGTTTTAAAAATGGGTTATCTAACATGTGACTGTTGTAGTGAGAGGAGAGTAAGAGAAATATGTTGAGAGGAGGAAGAAAAAAATGGAAAGATGATAAATACCATAAGAGGTTGATAAAAAATATAAGAAAGGTGCACTAAGGGTAGCAAGAAAATTGGAGAGGTTTCTTAATGTGTTGGAGAGGTTTTAGGGGTGTGGAGAGAGAGAAAGAGAGATTTTAGGAAGATTTTTAGGTAATTGGGAAGCGATCAAAGTAAATAAATTTAAGACAAAGTATACAATACCTTTACATTAGGGGTGGGAAAGGGAAGGGGGCATGCTGAGGTGGCAACTCTAGGCTTGGAAAGGGAATAATGCACCCTCTAAAAAATTTCAAGGTTGGGGTAATGGAGCAAGGGAATATCGGCTTGTATCTTTGCTCACTTTACTTTTTTTTTTCAATCTGGTTCAAGGGGGTGTATTTAAAGGCCCGTCTACCCCCTAAACCAGGTCACACCCCGAAACGACCCCTGTAGAGGCATAGCGGTGGCCTCCCGATATGTATTATATATGTGTGTGTAAAAATAATAATGTATCTAAAAATATAATAAATATATTACAATAAAAAATCATATCCTTTAGTTTTGACCTTGAATGTCTACCGGATGAACCATTCATTTTCCAAAGTAATTTATGAAATTTGCGAAGCTTTTAAAAATTTATGGACTTGATTGATTTTTAAGAAATTCGCCAAATTCATGAATAATTTGGAGAATTACTAAAAGTGAGGCCAATTTTGTAAAGATAGAAGCACCCAATTTAGAGCCTCTATGGAGGATGCAGAATGAATAAAAAACAATGAATAGAGTATTTTATTCTAGTCCAAGCAAATCAAATCGTTTTTTTTTTTTTGTAAAAAGTGAATAAAAACCTCCCTACCCTTTTTTCCATTCACGAATACCCCAATGCATTTGATGATGCAAATAGGAATTAATCCATTTCTTGAAAATCCTAAAATGAATGCAATTTAATAAATGTTTGGCCACTATAGGTTCTTATTTGTCTCATGGTGTACATTTTGCCTGCCAGGCTATGAATGACTAATTTTTAGTTCTACCTAATTGGATAAGTCATTCATCGAGAAGGGCTACGAAGATTTTTGTTTTTTTTTTAGGGTAAATTATAGATAGGTATCCTGTACTTTGGGGGTGGTGACAAATAAGGGTGTTAATGGACTGGCCCGTCCAATCCAAAATCAATTTGGGCGGATTGGACAGACCAACAAGACATATTGGATTGGACCAATCCGGTCCAAAATATTTATTAGATTGGATTGGACCTGGTCCGTCCATAACAAATTTCTATTAGATTGGGTTGGATTAAGCCAATACCTAGTCCATTGATATAGGCAAGAATATGTGTCAATGGACTGGGTTTGGGTTGAAATCAATCTAAATCAAAATGAATTTGAACAGATTGGACGGTTTAGACATTGAATTGGATCGGTCCAAATTGGTCCAAAACATTCATTGGATTGGACCTGGTCCATGATAATGGACTCACATTGGATTGGATTGGATTGGACCAAACCCAATCCAATTGACACCCCTAGTGACAGATAGGTACCATGAATTTTCAATTGCAACACTTGAGTGCCTTGAACTTTTAAAAATAGACACTTGGGTCCATGCGTTAGTATTCTGTCAGTTAAATATTACATAATGTAAAAAATACCCTTCTCATGTATTTTTGAGATCATTCTCAAGTAATCGAACTTCCCCACAATCACGTTCTCACATGGACATCAAATAATATATTCAAATTTTTTGACGATGGCATTCACTGGTGATGATTTTACAATGTAGAATTATTTCAAAAATACATAAAAATGTATTTTTGACCTTGTGTAATGTTTAACTGATGGAATACTAATGGATGGACTCAAGTGTCTATTTTTTAAAGTTCAGGGTACTCAAATGTTGCAATTAAAAGTTCAGGATACCTATTTGTCACCGCCCCCAAAGTACAAGATACCTATCTGTAATTTACCCTTTTTTATTTACTTTTTTTTTTGTCAATGTAGTAGATACCAATTACATTAATGGAACAATGTCTCCCTTTAAAAGGGTTTATATTGCAAAACTGTTTGATATGTAAGAAGATTTTATTATTTAGATCTAGATCATTTTATATGCTCAATTTAATTAATGAAGGAGTACATATTGGAATTTCCACATAAACAGATCTTATCTGCTAGCACAATACTTATGATAATTACTATATATGAAATGCAAAGGAGATTTATATGGCAAGTTAAGCAAATTTCTGTAATATTATACAATAGAGCAGCTTGGCTCAAAAGATAATCAGCCATTTGATAACAGTGATGTTCAATTATTCAAATGAAGGATCTTGCGGTGTTGACCAAGGATACTTCATGGATGGATCTCGGGGAAGTCGCCTGAAGTTGATAAATGGTGCCCAAAGAATAATTCTGCAAATAGGAAGATTGAAGTAAACCTTATTATTTCTATATTTCAAAATAGAATTCATGGAATGAAATCTTGAGGCAAGATTCTACAAAACAAACCCAGTGAAATTTCTTAAAACAGAAATCGAATCTCATAATATTGTCTGCATTGATGTAGGTAGTCTACCATATGGTTTTCCCATATACCTAATGAATAATCTGAGCACTGTTATGAATGGAATAATAATTTGTCTTTCTGCACCTGTTTGGCTACAATTTATAATGTAAATTTACTATACTCGTTTATTTTTCATTTTCATTTTTTATATGTCCGCTGATTTTCTAATCTCATTTGCTTTGACTATTTGCATGCAAATGATCTATTCCCATAGTCTGTTTGATTCAGACAAGAATCGAATTGGGAATTGAAATCAGATGGAAGGGGATTTCATTCCACCAGGAATGTGAATGAGATTTCGATTCTGCTCAACCAAAAAGTTGGAATCTGAATAGCCCATTTCGATTCCGATTCCAAACCTGAACCAAATAGGCCATTAGTTTTAATTTTGACTATGTTATATTATGAATGTGCCAAATTCGGCTAATAAATTGCATTGTAATTTCTTTATTCTGATTTGTTTTCCGGTGAACATCATGTTCGTGTAACATTTGAAAATTGAGAGTTCATGTCTGTATAAATTTGGTCTACTGGCAAAGGAAAAGAGGGGCAAGTGAGTAAGCATTTAAGCAAATCAACCCCATTAATGGGTATTAGCACTTCAAAATGCGATTTGACTGGTTCCATAAGCACTTGAAACATGGCTCCAGCGTAATGAACTTTACAAATTCATGAAAAGTGACAGAAGAGCACAAGGGATTGTTTTTGGTAACAAAACTTTTCTGAATGAACTTCTAAACCAACAATGGAATTCCATTATTCTGATCTATTTTTACCCCTCATAGGCACAATCCTGCAAAGTGTTTTTAACTTGTAAAAACTTGGAATCCAAAACATTAATTTTCATGATTTTGCAGGAAATTCTGATTATACTACTAGTAGTGATTAAAAAAACAACATTTCATGGACAACTTTGAGGTGATATTGTGGCTCATGTGATCCATCTCATTATAATGAATATTGAGATCCTTGACTGAAAAAAAAAAAAAAAAAACAGAAGAAAGAAAATCTTGAATGGCTGCAAACTGAAACATGTACATTGCAGAACAGTCTTAGTTCTTCCATCAAGATCCATCAGGACAGTGAAAAGCAATATAAACAATTGTTGTGAACCAAAGAGGCAATAGGGCAGATGCCTTTCGATTCCAATTGCCAGTGCTACTCAAATTTTGAGCAGTCTTTAACATTTCCAAAGTCTACACAGATGGGGCCATGTTTCACATATAGTTTCCACAGATTACAAGTGTAAAAGTTTTCATGGTTTCACTGAATGGTGCTAGTTTCTGGTTCTACTGTGGCTAGTCAAAAGCATGGCCAAACATTTGAAGAGGAATGGTGAATAAACAGATTCAAGAGGGGGCAGCTGTAGAACATCTGTGCAATAATAGGAGCTACTCAGTACTCACCCGGGGAAGAACATGAACACAAACATGAATTGCAAATACATCTCCAGGAGCTTTCGTTTGTACCATCTGAGCCGAAGCCAATTCATGATGATAGGCTGTGATTCATTGAAAACAATAACCATGAACTCAATGCATTCGATGAGAGAAGCAGATCCAGATAACTATCTATGGCCCTTTACTCACCGGCATGATTAGGAAATACCAAAATGCAACAATTCCCAGTTGTATCAGTGTTGTCGTCAAATCTTGTTCGTCATTTACTCCCGTCACCGCAAATGCCGGTTGTTCAATCTGTCAGAATGGTCTCTCAATTATAAAACCCATCTCAAGAAGAAACAAACAGAATGGAAAACAGATGCAGGTTACTGTCTCACAGTGACCAAAAGAGTTCCAAGTTGTAAAGCTAGACCAGACTTCTGTAGAGCTGACCAGTTAATGGGCTTTTCAGAGGTGCTATTAAGTGCCTGTAATTGAACAAAAAGGGGTTCTCGAATTCATGATAGAATCGATAATTCAGCAGAAATAAGTGCAGAAATTAACAAAATCAACAAAGAGAATTGTAGACCTTTAAGGGCTTGAATTTGGGTTGCTGAACGTGTTTAGAAGTAATGGAGAGTGAAGGACGTCGGAATTGTGAAGAGATGCAGACTGGCACTGCCTTGGCCAGTGGAGAGCTCAATGAACAATTCATTTTAGAGCTCCCTCTCTCTCTCTCTCTCTCTCTCTCTCTCTGTTCCTTATCGTCTGGGTTGTTAATATTTAAAATTTGAGGATTTGCCACGTGGCTATTGCAATGTAGCTAGACCACTCATAATTACCATGAGGGAAATGTTACCATGCTGCACAATGCACCACAATATATGTACCATTCCATCTCAAGTAGAAAACTTAGTTGACCACCTGGATGTTTTTGACCATTTGATCTGTGTTGTTCCACAAACCACAATGTTACTCCTAATACCGTGTGGAGTTCGAAACGACAATTCACCGTTGAGCCGATCTCTCATCCTTCTCCGACATCAGACTTGACATAGCACCAGTGAAGGCATCAGGTGACAGATAGACTCCACTGTCACTGTAACTCAGCGGAAGAAGCCTTTCTCTCTGTACTTCTTGTTCTCGCCTCTCAGTTTCTCAGTTGCACTTGATGGTCCACTGAGTAAAACCCAAAAGCGGAAGCGTTTCTCTTTGGCAATTAACAGTTATTATCTGAATTTTTAGTTGTTTTGGTTTTAATTTTAATTCCCATTTGAGTTGGGTTGTGTTGGATTTGCTGCACACGTAAGGTGTTTGTTTGAATGATTGTTTAATGATCATTAGAATTTCAATTTGGTTATCAGGGGTTTCATAACTAATCATGAGGCTTTTTGATGGGTGGAGAACTTTTCGAAGAATACCTTACGAAGAATGGACGGCCATTCTAAGGATACCTTACGATGAGTGGAAAGCTATTCTAAGGATACAGAAATTCCGGAGGATCGTGTCCTACACTGGATTCTATTGCTTCGTTTCCTTATTGAGCTATGCCTATACAAACAATACGTAAGTCATTTTACCGCTTTGTGAGCTTGGAGTTGGAGGCATATAGAATCAAATCGTTTCTGGGTAATTCTCAAATGGCTTATATGTTTTATTCATTTGCTATTTCTTAACTTCCTCGTGCAGAACAAGAGCCGGAATTTCCAGGGGTGATCAATTCTATGCTTCTTTTCCGGCAGGAACTGAACTACTAACTGACACTGCCAAGGTCTATGACTTCAGTTTTATTTTTCATATTTATGGGGTTTCTGGTCCTCCTTATATGCAGCCTATGGATATAAATTTTGCACTCTCTTGCAGTTGTATAAAGCTGCGCTTGGTTATTGTTTTGAAGCGGAGGAATGGGGCCCAATTGAATTTGCCGTCATGGCTAAACACTTTGATCGCCAAGGAAAGGCACCTTATGCTTACCACTCTGTAAGTTTGTTACCAATATAATTGTCTGCTTCTTCTGTGTATGTTTTCCTCATTTTATAATATTATTTTTGTTATGCAAGTTCAAGCCATCCCTCTTAGGATTTAGGAACTAAGAAAATATGGCATTTTCATGTCACAACAGCATTCGCTGGTAAGGACAGATTTTGGCAGTTGACCCTCTGAGAAAGTCTGTTGAGAGTCTTGATGATATTTGATAACCGCAGTTACCACAGAAAGAGTGTGGGGAGTTGGTTCAGGTTGACCTAGAAGTAATGCTGGATGATGTTGTAGGTTGTGGATCCCTTAGAAACAACATGTTTTACTTCTTGAGTAACTTGGCACATGGATATAGAAGATATGAAGAGCTACTTGAGGTTTCTGATCTTGGATCTGGAAAACAAAGAACCAATTTACTGTACATTAAAGAAATAAGTTGCTTCTCAAGCACATATTTTAGGGTGGCTGTGATTGATATCTCAGTTAGAGTGGTGACAGCATGGTGGTAATGGCAAGACAATTTAGCTATTTCATGTGACCACCCAGTAGATGCAACATTTAAAAGCAGGAAGAAGAAAATTTAGAATTAGCATTTTTATCTAATGGCACAGGAGTTACTAGATATTGAACTGGAAGAGTGCCTTAGACGAGAGTACCTTCCTACAAATATGGATGGGAAAGCTAACATTTAGTTATCAGTATCATTGTGCAGTCTTCTGCTTTGTGCCCTTGATCCTGCATTAACTTATTGAGTGTTTCCAATTTCCTTTTTTTGACTTGATGGCAATAGGTTATCAAGTGTTTGAGCAATGTCTCTTTTAAACCTCCTAGTCCTAGTCTTATTGCTTGTCAGTTGACCATCAATATGATTGAGTGGGTGTTCTCTTTTTTCAATTGCTTAGAGGGGTAGAAGAACTTGTATTTGTATTTATTTTCTTATGAGCAATCAACAGTCAAAACCTTGTTTGTTAAATGAGTTGTCATAACCTAGTCTGGAGCTTTAATCTCTGGTTGTTCAGTATGAAACTTGCCTTGTAAATGAATTGATGCTATAAACTCTTCCTTCTAAAGTGCCCTAGTGAGCAACAAGAGTCCGAGGAACAAAATATATATATGTTTAAACTCAAATATGCTTATGATCAATTACTGAATGTCTTTCCCATGAAGAAAGTATAAAACTAGGAGATGGATTTTTTCTATGTCAAGTAGGCTTCTATATTTATTTAAGAAGTATATTATCTATTACATTGCCCTGAAACTATATTCAGCTTCTGAAAGCACTTGGATTTGAGGCTTATGAAAATAACTATACATTTCAGACATCAATGGCTCTTGAGATGCAGATGCAGTTACATAACCAGTTTAATAGATAGAGGATTACATTATAGCTAGACATCAAGTCAATCATGTGAAAAGAGGAGAGATCCCATTGAAAATGCTTATCTTTCTATTATCCTAGTGGGCTTGCTGAGGGATAAGTCACACCTAGCAACAGGATAAGGGGAAATAAAAATTTGATGGCCATTTGCCCTATATCAGCAGGAAGTAAGTGAATGGAGTCTTAGCATCTGAGGCATTACCGCATTAGTTTATCTGCAGAAAGACTAGATTAACTATTCTTGTCTGAAGTTAATTAGGTGATTTGCTATAAATAGTTGTCGTGCAAGTCTTGTAATTAGTCAGGACCATGAAGGGAAACAACTAGGTCTTTCTTTTCTATCCACTTGGATCTATCTTTATGCAAAGCCTGTTGATTGCATTATTTACTCTTTGATTTGCATAATCCTTTATAGTTTTATTTTCCTTATTCATCTTGAATTATGTATAATCTTTTCTTAGCCCTCTGGTGTTCAGCACTTGCTCATTTTCATTCTTTTTCAGCAATACATGGCGCATCTTCTTTCTCATGGGCAGCTTGATGGAAGTGGCTAGTGGAGGTGAAGTGCCAATAATCCACTGCACCCATGTGAAGATACTATGGCAGTGATTACATATGCAATGGAAATCTTTTAACAACCTTTTTGAAGCTATGTAATTCTGAAAGGGGAGCAGCTACTATCATTTGATCTCATCTTGGGACTCCTTCCTTGTTCTCCATCTGAACCACTTGTTATTTTAAGTGATGTGTGCCAATTCTGTTACCCATTTTATAATTTTTAAAGAAATTTAAATAGGAATTTACTATTTGATGGAGCTTCTGTGTTTAGTTCAATTCATTGTGCAGCATGCAGATTAATGCTTTGAATAATGTTAGAATTGACATGGTTCAAGAAGATTGTTTATTTTTGAGTTCCAACTTCCAAATTGTTCTATCAAAAACAAAAAAAAAAGAGTTTCCAAGCTAATGTTGTACATAGGATGCATTTCAACTGTTAGGCCTGCATTACACTGACTTCTAGATGGCTGAATCGTTTCCATATAAAAGGTGTAGAAAACAAAGTTTAGACCTCAACACAGGTAGAAATGTAACTGATTTTTTTTAATCTTTTTACAGATGGATTTTTCTTAACAATCCTAGAGAGAAAAACACAGCCCATGTTGAAGATTATTATTTTGTTTGGAATGATGAGTGAAGGTTCAACGTAGAATGAAGCCTGAAGTATTAGTTAAAAGGAAGTAGAAGGAAAATATTTATATATTATTTTGTGTATTGTAAAAATAAGCCTAACCCAACTTCTTGTCTAGACAATATTACATATTTATGCCAAATGAAGGGATTATGTGACCAATTTAGATTGTCAATTGGACGATAGGACCCTCTGGATTGGCCACTTCTAATTCCTCAGCTTCATACCTTCCACCGTTATGATAGATAGAATTAATTAAAAGGACAATTATACCCTTTCAAAAATACAGGTTCTTCTTTCGCACCTAACCGCTGAAATACCTTTGGTGTTTGGTTTAAAAGGACAATCATTGTTGTTTATCTAAAACACGGTATCAGTTCAGTGTCATATAAGCATTTCTCCTATGGAATTTGAAATGTTGTTTCGTTAAATCATTAAGAAACATTTTTTTGAAATAGTGTTAGAGCCATCTGTGGGGTTATAGTCTCAATGTTTATAGTTTAACAACAATGCTGACTAGGTGTTTATAGTAGATATGTATTTGGTATGTTCTGTTTCACGTTGAAGTGCTTAAAGTAAACTTTTTAATTCTATGTAACACTAATCACACTTATTTCAATCTAATGGATAAGAATTTTCAAATCTAGGATTTCATCAGATTTAATTTTCTCCAATGTACAAGGGTGTTATGCTTGATGATGGAAATCCAACGGTCCAAAATTCATGAAAAACACCCCCCTCGGTCAAACAAGTTCTCTCTCACTTATATATAAAAGATTATATATGGGTTCAATGAAAAGGAAGGGATCAAATAAGTTATCATGTCATCGTAAATTGGTTTACAAGCGTAGGCTTAAAGCTCTAAACCAATCAAAATTGTGAAGGAGGGTTTGAGGAATTTAACCTGCTGGTGCCTGAATTCTTTGAAGAATTCCAATAAGCCCAAGATGATATATGATGCACTATATCAATTCATCACCATGCCACATCGGATGACAGATAACTGCCATATCAACTAAAACATTGTGATAGGCAATGGCTGTTGGGGGAACCTCAATTTGACGTTTCCTCCAATGCCCCCTCATTGCTATTTTCAGAAAAAAAAAAAAACATTTTTTGACTTTTTTGAGTTAAAATAGTTTCAACCAAATAAAAAATTCCTATTGCAATTCAAAATGCTTAGGTGGCACTGATATGGCAGGGTTTCAATGGGAAACGACAATGGTACCAAACATATCCTTAGTTAATGATCAAGGAGTAAAAGGATCCATTTGTTGTGGATCCTAGAGTACATTGTGTTTGTCTTGTCTCCATGAACTCGATAAGGGGATAATATAGCCTCAATCCAAAGCAAGGTTCAAAGTATTGATACATATCGGGCCATATCTGTTGATACGTATCGTATTGGGGGCTTTTCAATATGCCCCTACAGGGGGTGTTTCAGGGTCTAAGCCAGTTCAGGGGTGGACGGACCTTTAAACCCACCCCCTAAGCCAGATTTGAAAAAAATATAAAAAAAAAATAAAGAAACAGCTACTGATACACTCCAATATGCCTTTACCAATATATCAGGTGTATCCATGGTTTTTAAAACCGAACCGGTGAGGGGTCTGGTTTCGGACCGCTCAAACAAAAAATAAAAAAATTCAAAAAAAATAAAAAAATTCAAAAAAAATAAAAAATGCTCAAAACCATTCGAACGGTTAACTGCCCGGTTCAGTGGTTTGCTGACCAAAATCAACGGTTTTGGGGGAAAATCCGGTTTTTGGGGAAAACAGAACCAGTCACCTAACCGGTTCCCGGTTTTGAAAACCATGAGTGTATCGATACTTTGAACCTTGATCCAAAGCACTTAGTTCTATCCTCTGTACCTATTTCGTCTATTTTTGCTTTAGGCTCCACTTTTCAGGAAGTTATTTACCCAGCTAAGTGCATTTACTATCCATGTTCTTTTATTTTCCAAATAAATAAGAAAATGATCATTTTAACCATAAAAACCATTATTAAAAGGGACAATTTTGTCCTGTCCAAGTATTGGTAACTTTCCCCTAGGTGGGAAAGTTATTTTCCACGGGAGAAGGGATACCTAGGAAAAATAAATTTTCCATAGACCTCACATAAATCTGAAAAAAAGAACGTGAATACCTTAGTTAATGGAAACCAAAATCCCATAACCAACTTTTCCCCTCTCAAATTCAAAAGAAAAAAGGGCTCTTAATCTTTTCTTAATTAGACCCTCGGTCTTCGGTCTTTGGTTCTTTTGAATTTGAATTCTTGGCAAATTTCCTTTCAATGCTTCTTCTATGACTTATGATTTAGGTTGATGAGCTATTGTTGAACGGTTAGATCCAACCAGTGAATCTTAGTTGCAAAGATCTCAGCACTTAGAAGGACAAAATTGGATTTCTATAATATTTACACTTGCACTAGAATCACATGCTAACAGAATATTAATGGAAGGTATGTTTAAGTCCTTTGAAAAAACACAGGCTATATTTTAATCCTTATGAGAAAGCTCAGGTGTACCCTAGTTTATATGGTAAAAAAAACTTATAGGTAAGAAAATTTGAACATTGGTATTTAGTTGAAAAACAATAAATCCACGGCTGCACCATGCTTTAATTACTTGCGATAATTACATATGATTAACTTTCATACAATTGTTTCTTTTTGGTATATATCTATTAAATAATTAACAAAAAAATCATTATTGAATCTTATATATCAATAAGAATTATGTTTATATCGTTTTTGCCATTGCTGATAAAAAAAAAATCATCATTATAATAATTGTATGGATTTCCTAAGAATTATGATACACATGCATATTTCCAAAATTTCCCAAGTGTGTCATAGTAATTCATACTTTATATAAATTATTAAACTATGTTTTTTTTGTTTTTTTGCATTTATGGGGCTGCAATATTAATAAATTGTCCCAATTTGAAATGAGATGGATCCCATTAAGGATGACCTGAATTTGATCTATTTGTAATTGGATCATGGATCCATCCCTATATGATCCAATATAACTTGATTTGAATATACATGGCCCCTGCTTCGCAAGAGTTGGATTGGAATTGTGACATTGCTATTTGTTACATTAAAAAAGACAATGGCTTTTTAATAAAAAACTTGCAATTATAAGTATTCGAGTCTTGAAATTCATATAAAGACATAAAAGAGATCATCAAGTGCTTGTTTTTTAAATATTGATTCAGCAAAATATCTCATATAAAAGAATGATCATATAGTGATAGTTCTGAGTTCTACTTCATAGATGTCCTTTGTTTTACATCAAGAACTCCCAGTTGACCTGGACGGTAGGACCGTTCGGCCTGGGAACCATCCAAGCAACTGCCTCCGTTTTACCCCCAACCCGGTCCTTGGCCAAAAATTGTTGAATCAGTCAATAACTCGTTGACTTGGGCAGTCAATCCATCGACCCGTTCAACGGTTTTTGGCCATTTTTATTTTTTAAATTTTGTTGTCAGAACATGCCATCTATTCGAACCAGACGGTCATGGGAAGGGTGGACATTGCAAGGGATTCCAAAATCTTGAAAGATAAATACAAAGTGACCTTAAACACAGAAAAAATTGGCGGTAAATCCACCAAACTGAAAAAACCAAGGAAAAAAAACAGAAAATCGAGTCCAAAGTTCTGCTTTGAATTTTGTAAGAAAGAGACAAAATAGATCGTCTTGTAAGAAAATAAAAAACATTGCACAAGAAAATTCAAAGAAAAAAACGAAAGGGAAGAAATAAAATGGTGGTAAACCCTAGACCGTTTTGGAGGATCTTGAAGAAGAAGACCAAACACAAAAAAAAAGAAAAATAGAAAAATGAAAAAAGGAACATACCGCACACGCTCGAATAAAGCCCATAGTAAAAGAAACATTTGAATAGTGAAAATCCAAAAGCATAAAAAACCATGGCTTTCGAACCGCCATTGACTTGGATGGACGGACATTTTGACCCAGGAACCGTCTAGGCAACTTGTTCCGTTTTACCCCAATTCCAATCCCTGGCCAAAAACCATTGAATCAGTCAACGGCCCATTGACATGGGCAGTCGAACCGTCGTCCTGTTGACATGGGCAGTCGAACCGTCGACCTGTTGACTCGTTCAATGGTTTTTGACTATTTTTTTATTTTTTAATTAGGAACTGTCTAGGCAACCGGTTTCGTTTTATCCCAATCCCGGTCCCTGGCCAAAAACCGTTGAATCAATCAATGACCCATTGACCCGAGCGGTCAAACCATTGACCCGTTGACCCGTTCAATGGTTTTGGCCATATTTTTATTTTTGTTGTCAGAATGGGTCATTCATTCGAACCGGACAGACGAACCGCTATATTTTTTATTTTTTTTAATTGGGAACCATCCAGGCAACCAGTTCCGTTTTATCCCAATCCCGATCCCTTGAAAAAAATCGTTGAATCGGTTAATGACCCATTGACCCATTCAATGGTTTTTGACTATTTTTTATTTTTTTTTTAAATTTTGTTGCCATAACGTGTCGTTCATTCGAACAAGACGGTTGAACTGTCAACCCAAAAACCGATGGCTAGAACGGTTCCGTAATTTTTTGCCTATAATTTTTTGGTCGTCTAGTCGAACCATCGACCCAAAAACTGGTGGCAAATAATATATATAAGATTCCTTATGTTTGTTTCTTGT